TGGTATTGGGCCAAAAAACCTATTCTGCATAGTAAAAAAAAAAAAAGAGAGAAAGAAAAGAGGAGGGCACGAGATTGGAGAAATGAAGACCACACTGGCACACACACCCACACCCAAGAGGGAGAGAAAAAGAGAATAATTAAAAAATATTCAAATATCCATCAGCGCTGCAGTACACATATGGGCCAAAAAAGGCGCCTCATTACAGCGGTCTCAGGAACATAGCACAGTGGTCGTCTTGTCCACGGCCGTGGAAAATTTACATTTGAGTGGGGTCACACTCACTCAAGACGCGCAGGAGCGGTATTGTGCCCAATGCGAGGCTGCTCCCCACTGCCACCCCCACCGGTGCGCAAGAGCCGTGCCCGCTTGATCTCCTCGCGCTCCGCGGCAATCTTCACCTCCTCCTGCTTCGACAAGTGCGAGCGGTACTCCACCATCTTGCTGCGCCGCGTCAGCACCTCCTCGTTGTTCTCGTCCACGGGGTGGTTGAACTCGATGCCAGCAGCGTCCAGCGCCTCCTCCGACTCCCTGAAGTCCTCCAGCGCCTTCGCCTGCTTCTCCTTCAGCATCGCCAGTTCCTCCTCCACACCCTGGCGCAGCTTGTACAGCTCCTTCTTCATGTCGGCATGCCTCTTCGCGTTCGGGTCAAACGTCTCCACGCAGAACTCAAGCTGAATGTGTGTCGTGCGGATGTTGCGGTCAATCTCCTCCATCCGCTTCTCTTTCTTGTAGATGAGCGAGCCCAGGGTGAGGTAGAGCATGCGGAAGTACTCCAGGTGCTCCTTGTGCACCTCCAGCCGTAGCGCCGCCAGGTCCTGACTTGTCTTGTCGTGGCGGGCCTTCACCGCGGCGCATCCCTCCGACACCAACTCCTCCACCAGCCCTGTGCACCGGATCGCCAGATCGCAATTGTACACCGTTAGCTCCAGAAGCTTCTTGTGCTGTGACGCGACTTCAAGGAACTGTGAGTACTCCACGCGCCGCTTCTCCTCGCGATCGATCTCCTCAATGCGCCGCTTCACCTCCTCGAAACGCTCCGTCCCCAGCTTTTGCAGCTGCCGCTCCAGGTCCTGAATCTTGTTCCACGCCTCCTCCTGCTTCTCTTCGTTCTCGCGGACAAAGCTGTCACTCTTCTCCTTGTTCGCAGCTTGACGCTTCATCGCCTCGGCATCCTCCAGATCCGCCTTCTGGATCGCGTCGTGAATGTGCTTCAAATCCGTCTCGCACCGCTGCTTCAGGCGCCGCTTCGCGTCCTTCATCTGGCTCGTCTCCTGGTTCGCCTGCTTCTGCACCTCGTAGATCTTCTTAAACGGCTGGTTCTCCTCCTCGCATTTGGTAATCAACCGGAACTTGTCCTGGATCAGGTCAATCAGTCGCTCCTGCAGCTGCACCTTCGTCCACATCTGCTCCTCAGCAACCTGCATCTCACCGTCATGCATGGCAACGTTTTGAATCTCGTTGGTCTTCTCAAGCTGCGCTAACTGCGTCTTGATCTGGTCGTCTGTCGACGCGAGTGCGTTCTGAATTTGTGTGGCGTTCATAATATCCTCAATCTGCTTCAGCGTCCGTGTCGGAACCTGCGCCAGCTGGGTCGCATCCAACTGCGACCGGCGAAGCTCCTCCTCCACCTTCTCCATCTTCGCAATTGCGTTGTCGATCATCTGCGTGAAGCTCACCACGCGCGTCTTGTTGCGGTTCTGCTTCAGGTCCTGCAGCACCTTCTTCACCCCAATGATGTCCATAAACTGCGCCTTGTCCTCCGGGCGGTACAGCTCACGCTGGCTCATTTCAAGGCCACACACCCGCATCAGCTTCGCCAAGTCGTACGCCTCCGTCAGGTTCCACTTTGTGCCGACGTCGACGGCCGCAACAAGTTCCTCCGCCTTCAGGTGAGCACCGCGCAGCTTCTGCCGCTGCGTCTCGGACCAGTCCGAAACGTGCAGCTCCTGGATCAGCTCCTCATTTTCGAGGCATGCCGTCTTCAGCTTCAGGTTGTGGATCTTCTGCTTGCGCGCGGCCTCCAGGCCAGTGACTTCTTCGGCAGACATAGCGCTGCTACGTGAACTTGTGGGTTTAAAACGTTTGGTATTGGGCCAAAAAAACCTATTCTGCATAGTAAAAAAAAAAAAAGAGAGAAAGAAAAGAGGAGGGCACGAGATTGGAGAAATGAAGACCACACTGGCACACACACCCACACCCAAGAGGGAGAGAAGAAGAGAATAATTAAAAAATATTCAAATATCCATCAGCGCTGCAGTACACATATGGGCCAAAAAAGGCGCCTCATTACAGCGGTCTCAGGAACATAGCACAGTGGTCGTCTTGTCCACGGCCGTGGAAAATTTACATTTGAGTGGGGTCACACTCACTCAAGACGCGCAGGAGCGGTATTGTGCCCAATGCGAGGCTGCTCCCCACTGCCACCCCCACCGGTGCGCAAGAGCCGTGCCCGCTTGATCTCCTCGCGCTCCGCGGCAATCTTCACCTCCTCCTGCTTCGACAAGTGCGAGCGGTACTCCACCATCTTGCTGCGCCGCGTCAGCACCTCCTCGTTGTTCTCGTCCACGGGGTGTTGAACTCGAT